CTGTGTGTGTGTGTGTGTATACACCACATCTTCATCCAGTCATCTGTCAATGGACATTTAGGTTGTTTCCATGTCTTGGCTATTGTAAATAGTGCTGCTGTGAACATTAGGATGCATGTGTCTTTTCAAGTTATAGTTAACCTAGAGTGGTTTGTTCAGTTGCTAGTGGTGATACATGTTTTGCATAATTACAGTGACTTCTGTGCCTGCAGTTTTTGTCCAGGCCAGAACCACCTAACTGGCGACTTTCTGACTCACTGGAAATGAGACCACCTAGAAAGTAGACAGCAATTGTAGACTGGGTTGATCTCATGCCAATTAGGCTCCAACCCCTCAAAGATAAGCATGTGAAGAGAAAAGGACTCAGCACCCAACTATACTTCGATCCTTCAGTCCTATCTCTGAATAACCTATTCTGTTCTGAGACCCCTTTTAGTTTCTGTTCTTGTGGCAGCAGGATCTTAGTTGTCTTCTCTTGATTCCATGATGTTATTTGGAGTTTCCCATTTTCTAGGTTAGTATGCTATTTCAGAAGGATGTGCTAGATTGAATGTGCAGTGAACAAAAATGTTTCTTCTCCCTTTTCTACATTATTAAACCCCTCAATGGCTTTTGTGACAATGGAGGATGCTTGTATCTGATAATACATGTCAGATTGCCATGTTGAGGCTTGCTTGTGATTCTGCTTCTTCAACCTATTCTCATGATGGGGAAAGACTAGATACACTTTTTCTACTAACTATCCTCTCCAAAATAGTTTTTTTTTTCCTGTAGAAACAGGAATATAGCAAGTGTTTGAGGGGCTCCAGCTGGATCTGGAATGAGCATCAAATTATTTTAGATACATAGGTAGACAAATGTTTTTGTACTTGGATTCCATTATTTGAGAAATGCTTCAGAAGGTCCAGATACAATTGATTTTACTACCTGCCTCACAGATCCCGTACCTGGCCTGGGTCCTGTCAGTAGAGAATACTGTGATAAGATGATAACTTGAGAGCCCAGTGGTTAAGTGGGTCTTTAGAGAAAGACCATGTGGGTTTGAATCCAGCTGCAGGACTCATTAGCTGCAGTACTTTGGGACAAGTGACTTGATTTCTCATTATGCCCCTTCCTAACTTGTAAAATTAGTACCTACCTCACTGTGTTGAGAGTGTTAAATGAGCTGCTCTATGGAGTATTTAGAACATAGATAGATATGAATTTTAGCTGTATTATAATGATTACCATGTAAACCAACTTAGGATTCTCATAATCATTTGTTTACAGTCTTGGAGAAACTTCAGTCAGTAGGCTGTATGATTAATTGCATGTACTGCTAAACAGGGGCAGCTCGTAATAGGCTCTTCATTTGAATTTCTCAAGTTTCTAAACGTGTCGCTTTTTATTTATAGGATTCCCCATTGTCAAATTTGCTATCTACTGATTATTTTTTTCTCAGTAGAATTGCTTATACTTGTGCCTTACAATTTTTCTCTTAGTAAAAAAATCACTTAAATTCACAGTATTCTAAAGTCTTTGAGAGTCTGGTTATAAAAGACATACAACAAAGTACAAGAAAATCATCTTTAATGTGATGTTGTATTTCACGTAATGAGAATCTAAGCTATTCCTGATTCATAAAGTGCGGTGGACAATCTCTTTTGCCACCTTTGGAGCATGCTTCTATACTTCAAGGAAGACAGTTTTCATGAATTACATGACAACTGAGAAGCGCTATACAAAAGCAAGGCTTATTGAAACTGAACCAATATTGTCTTACAAACATTGCCTTAAAACCAAATATTTTTATTTGCTTTCTCATGATTAAAATTGTACATTGCATTTTAGAAGAGTTAATAATTTCTCAGTACTTTTGCAACATGTAACAGTAACTACTTCTTTGGTAAAAATGTATTAAAGGAGATGGTTAGAAATCAAATTTAACAGGAGACTTTTGAGCAGAGTTGGAATAATTCTGCTAAATGTTAAATAATTTTCAACTATTTTATTTTAATCTTTTTTCACCTGAAACAGGAAATCAGTGCAGTTAATCACTTAACTATCCAAGCCTCACATTTCGGGACAGACAGGATCACCCGTATCAACATACCCGGATGGAAAACAGACGGCAAGTGGCAGCAAGACATGTGCAATGTACGATGTGAAAGAACTCTTCTTTACACTAGTGTGAGAGCTTTGTGTTTAATGTGGATGTACTTTGCAAGGTGTTAATGCATATCCATGGAAATTCTCCATTCAGTTATTCACATTATCCACGTTCCAAGGCCTCACATGAATTACCCATTTCCCAGTTATCTTCACATATTATGAATTACATAGATTATGATGGAAGGTTTTTGTAATTATTCTTTGGTAAATTCTCACCATTGACCAAAGATGGAAAGGTATGATAAATTTCTCATTTAATTTAAGGAAAAAATTTCTAAGTTCACTCCATGAAATTAATTTCCTCTCTTATACTCAAGATTAATAGCCTGCTAACACAGTAAGCAATTAATTATTTATAAGCCATATAGTGTGGTGGAGTCAGACTGTCTGAAATCATATCGTGGTTCTGTTTACTAGCTCTGTGGTCATGAGCAAATTAATTAACCTATCTGTGCCTCAGTTTCCTCATCTGAAGATTAAATGAATAAATGTGAACGAGGACAGGGCCTTGCATGTAGTAGGTTCTCGATACCTGTAAATGTTACTTCTTAAGGTGGAATTAGTTGTTCAGACTCTTTGGTTTTCTTTCATTTTTACTTTTTTTAATACTTATAATAAATTTTTTAGGTGTTGCTTAAAGTGGAAGATGTGAACTGCATTAATTTAGACTGGAGTAACGGTTCACGGCAATATATCCATGCCATAAACAATCTCCGTGTTGTCGGTGCTGAGGTGGCTTATTTTATTGATGTTCTCGTGGTAAGAACAGTTGATTTTTTAAAATACTATAGTTAATTGGTTTTGTATCATAACACCAAGAGTTTGGGGCAGTTTTATGTTCTTTTTATTTGTTTCCGCAAGTACTGAGTATGTGAAGTGCTGGTGGACGGTAGCCAAAAGGGAAGTTACTTTTTGTGAAAGTGTCTGTGGTTCTACAAAGCGCCACTTGGTGGCAGTGCCCCTTCACAGGCTCCTCAGCAAATCCCTCCCGCCCCCAAGGTTGCCGCCTGGACCAGCACGGAGGACCATCTCCGTTGTTTTCATCACATTGTAAACCTATCCTTAATGATAGATAATAAACTGTTCCACTTTACAAGTGCTGTTTGTGTAGGATGTGAAGTGCATTTTCGCACAGAAACTGGGTGCTGTGGCAGTGAATTAGGCCAACAGGCCAGTTCAAGCACAACTCTGTAACCGACACATTTTCTAAAAGAATAAGAAAGACTTTCTATTTACGAGGGATCTACTCGGAGACATTTATAAATCTCCAAATGCTCTACCATAATGAAAAGTAATTTCCCACTGTAAAGTGCAGTGAAGTAAAATCTAAAGATTTATGACCCTTTCAGATCCTTAAGGAGAGTTCACTCATTCCGTTCAACAAATATTTCACCCTGCACTGGGGGCCGGGCACTGTCCCAGGCACTGAAGGTAACGGTGGGTGAGACAGTGTTTCTGCTCTGACAATGTGTAGGAACAGTGCTGTGAAGATACGCAGGGCAAGGGGACGGGGAGTGACAGGTGTGGCAGCTCACTGAGACGGCCAGCTGGTCGGGGCAAGTGATGTTGGGACCCTGAGCCCAGTTAGGAAGCAGCCTAGAGAATAATCAGGGCGCCAGCACTCATCTCTGCCCCCATGTCTCTGTCTACTCTCCCCACTCTGTCAGGGGAGACTTGAGTACCAGGAGGAATGTAGTTTGTCCACAAAGGATGAAATCAGATTTGTCTCCTCTTCAGAGAAAAAGCAGACCTAAGCTCTAGTGAATTTTCCGTAGATCCTGGGGCCTGAGCTGTGGGCACTTGTAGATCCAGGAAATAAATAGGATGGCTTAGATGTTTGCTGAACTGAAAGAGAAAAGTGTTTGCTGACTTAAATGTTCAGTGAATTGTTCGCCCCCTTGGAGGCCCAAGGTGAAGAGTGGGAGAGGGTCTTTGGAGGGGAGCCTGGAGCCCCCTGGGGACAATTTCCTCCTGCTGAGGGAGCAGCTAAGGAACAGGTGTGATTCTCTGCCTCCTTTTATGTCATCTTATCACGGTTATTAGGTTCAGTCCCCACCTGGTTTAGCCCTGGGGCAAGCAGGTACCTGGGGACTGGGTACCAGCCAGATGGGGATAGAGGAGACAGGGAGGAAGGGCAGAGCTGATCTCAGATGCCCGCCAGTAGAGAAAGCTCAGAAAGCAAGCTGAGATTTAAACTGGCGGCAGCAGTGGAGGACAGAGGAATGGGGGCTATGACAGGAGCCCTTCCTGGGCAGCCGTTTATGTGGGATAATACAATTCACAGTGCAGCATGTGATACACGTAATACTGTCATTACTGGGGTGGGAGGGAAACAGAAACTTCTGATCAAACGACAGATTTATCCAAGTGAAGGCAGTTACTTAATTTTGACTATTATCATGAAAAGAGCCTGAAACTTAGGTGAAACTAAAAATGCTTTGCTCTTTTGTTACAAGTTAAGTTGACTCTGTGTGTGTGTGTGTGTGTGTGTGTGTGTGTGTACTCTTAGGCCATGTAGTCTCTTTGCGAATATTCTTTAAAACTCTTTTTTGAGGACCAAAGTCATGCCAGACATTTGCTAGAGTTGCCTTAAGCTTGGCGGAGACATACACAGGTGAGGTGGGTAACAGCGTGGGCGTGACCTGCCTTCGACGCGTGCTGGGGGCGTGCTGGATGGGTCAGGCCTCAGGAAGGGTGGGTAGAGTCTGGAAGCCACAGACACAGTCGCTGGGCTATTCTCCCCCCTGTTCCTGAGGACCGTGAGGCCCTTTGCACAGGGGGAGGAACTGTGATGGAAGGTGTCCCTACAGCCAGCCTGATACTCTCTCCTTCAGCTGGATGAGGATGTAGGTGGACTCAGGGGTCACTTTTTCCCTTTATCAGTCCCCATCCTGGATGTCAGCTCCTTTTTAATTTTAAGCATATTTCAGCCATTCTCTCTGCTTTTTTTAAAAAAATACTTGTTCTGTTTTCCTTTAAAAAAAATCCTATCAGAAAAAATTTGAATATTCCCCTTCTAAAGTGCACTTGATTGGCCACAGCCTGGGGGCTCATCTGGCCGGAGAAGCTGGGTCAAGGACGCCAGGCCTTGGAAGGATAACTGGTAAGCCTGCCCTCAGGTGGGGCCTTGGATGTATTTACATCATTGTTTACACACAAAGTCAAGCATCTGAACACCAAAGGAAGTCACAGAAGCAAATGTAAGACAGGAGAAAATGTGATTTCCCCAAAGTAAAACATGAAATGCTGAATGTGTAGATCCAGGTTCAAGGATGCTCACCACAGCACTATCTGTGTGACAGTAAAGGGAACTGCAGTTTCCCGCCTGTCCGGATGGTTATGGCACATCCCATGCTTTGCAGCTCCATACTGCTAACAGAGAGAATGAGACAGAGCCCCAATGATGGCCCTGGAAGGACGTCTATGGCACATCTGGATCATAGCTCACCCAGCATAGCTGGCAGTGCTAAAACTGGTTTGTTTAAGGCCCCTGCCCATGCCATGCCAGTTGCTAAAATTTTGAATAATGCCCCTGGATATACTGTAAAGTCTGAAAACAAGTTGCAAAGTGAAGTATATATACTACGAATTAGAGTGTTGAGGATGATAATTAATCGTATCCTTTCTCCGCACTCTGACTTCCAAGCCAATTGAGTCAGATGGAGATGAGAATATCGGTTCCATAATGGACAAGCTGGGCTGGCCCCGCCCTCCTCTGCATCCCAGGCCGACAGTCAGCCAGCAAATCTCATGTCTCCTTCAGTCCTTTGTTCTTCTCCTTCATTTGCTTTGTGCCTCTCCGTGGTCTGGCCACTGTCCTCACTCAGGCCCTCCCAATCTCTTCCCTGATTTTTGCCATTCACGGCTGGTACCCCAGCCGAGTCTTACACATGTATTGCCAGTGTCATTATCTTTCTAAATCCAGGCTGTGCCACTCCACTGCTTGAAACTTTCCATGGCCTAAAGCTTCTTAGCTTGTCATATAAATGTTTCATGTTTCATGCTTTTCCATGATTCTGTGCCTTTGCAAATGCTATTCCCCATCGCCCTAAATATCCACTATTCATGCTTCAAGATTTAGCTCAAATGTTTCTTCCCTAGGCAGAGTTAATTCTCTGTACTTCCCATACTCCTTGAAATATGCCTCTGTTATATTTGAAAATACAAATACTGTATCACAGAGTCTAAAAATTATTTAGGTCCCTGTTATTTTCAATAGACTCTGAACTACTTAGAAAGCCTCCCCTACTGCACTTCCACCCCAAGTCTGGCACATAGTAGGTACACACTTTCTGTTTGTTAAAACAGTAAACTGCATACATATACTATAATTTCAAAGTGAAAAAAATTTTTTTCTAAAAATAGTCAAGAATTCCAAACGGGGTTTAAAGTATTTTTACCTCTGCAATCTCTTGATGTAACAGGCTTTTCCTGCTTAAAATATCCTCTTTCTCCCAGCTCTCTGATCCAAACTCCAGCCCCAGCCCACCACCACCACCATTCTTATTTTGGGTAGTAAAAATCGTATTTCTACTCTGAAGTCATTGGCAAAAATCCAGCTTTGCTCTACGTTTTCAAGCTCAGAGGAAGGAAGAAATGGGCACAGCTTGTGCAGGTGGACCATCACTGGGGCCTGCGCGGCCTGTGGGGCATTTCAGCCGCAAAGTAGAATGGAGAACTTTGCCATCGTGTATTAAAAATTCACACTGGGTGACAGTAAATTCATGGAGATTTTGTTTTCATTAATTCTTATGTCAAAAATCAGTCACTATTTAACTCCAATTTTCCTGCCAAGTGAATTATCCTGTTGAGTAAAGAGAAAACAATAAATTTTTAAAGGCTCTTTAAACATCCAAAGAATTTGTATAACGTGGATGCTGCAGTCTATATCCCTTCTAGTTTTTGAGCAGTCATGTTCCTTGACTAGCAAAAGAACTGAGACCTCAAAAAAGATTTTAGCTTTATAATAAAACAAGTTCAAAACAAAACATGATAGATTTTAAGACATGAGTATAAGTTTCTATGTCTACGATAATTATCTGTAACTGGCAGGCAGTTATCGTAAATGACTTTAACATAGGGGTTTTCAGCCAGTTCAAGATTTTATTTACCTTTTATTCATAAACAGCATCAGTGTTTTCCCTTTTGAGAAGAGATCACTTCTGCTATGCTGATAACACACATGCAGCCAAATACATACACACCAGTAAACTCAGATCCCAAGCGGTGACGCTCTTGCTCTTATACTAAGGGTCACACCACCCCAGCCCCAGATCATTTAAGAGGTCTCTTCCCTTGTGCTGACCTTCCTCCTGAAATATCCTAGAACCACAAATCTAAGATTCCCTCTTCCCTGTCCTTAGAAGGACTAGTGTGGTTTTTTTCTTTAACTTTTTATCTCGTTGCCTTGTCCTCAGATCAACATAATCCGAGGTGTACCTGCTATATTTGGATGTTGTCTCTACCTGGGTCCTGATTTCATCAGATGATTGAATCTAATCAGTGATTGTACTTTAGCAAAATAAAATTCCTCCTAGAGTTGGAGATTGTGAGACAAATGCTGTTGCATCTTTCTCTTAAGCTTGGATATTTCCTTCAGATGCATGTTGGTTTACTTCACTGACCCCTCTGTCTAATGTTATCTTTCCACCTGTGCTCTGAGTGGCATGCCTATTTTGGAGACCTTACTCTGTCACCTGTCTGCTTTTATTCCCCACTTAACAAGTTTTTTTCCCCAACTCTGTCTATTGACACTGACATGTGCCCATTCCTCCTGGACCATAGCCCCTTCTAACCGATACCCTAGCCTGCCTCACTCTCCATAATTAAACTCCTCAAGGGTGAGGTGGCCACATTTCCCTGAGGGCTGTTCTCACCTCAACCCACTGCAGTCTGGTTTCTTCCCCAACGCTTCTGCCAAAACCACTCTTGCCAAGACCACCAACAGCCATTTTTTTTCACCATGAGTTTTTTACCACTCCCCCAGCCCTTTCCCATCTTTCCTGTCTTTCTTACTTGGCCCCTCTGCAGACTTTGACCTGCTGACCCCTCCTACGCCATTGGAGCACCCTCTCCTCTAGGCTCCTTTGGTTCCCCATCTCCTTGTTCTCTGACGGCTTTTCTCCAGGCTCCCCTGCAGGTTCCTTTTCTTTCCCTTTCCCTAATTCCTTGGTGTTCTTCAAGGTTCTATGCCAGGCACCCTCTTCCCTCCCCTCCTCTCTTCTTCTCACTCTGTCATTTATCTCTCCACGATTATATCAATTAGAAAAATAAAAACAGAATCTGGATCCTACGACAGGCTAAGTATGCTGAGGCAGTCAATACCCACCCCACACCGGGACCCAGTCATTTCTCACTCAGGCTGCAATTTCCCAGGATTAGGCACAGCTCTGCTCCAAGTCCTCTCCACTCTGGAGCCCAGTCTCCACGCAACTGCAATGAGACTTTGCTAAAATACAAATCTGACTGTAGATCTACCCTTTTGCAAACTTGTAGGAGCTGCCCATTGACAGCCAGGTCGTATCCAAACTCACCATGGCTCAGATTATATCTGGCTCCTGCTTATAATGATATCTTCATCTTTCACCAAATTCTAAAACTCCTACATGCCAGCCCTTGAAGGCTAGTTGTAGTTTCCCAAACATGGTTAACCCTCTTCCCTGATGGTCACATACATTGTTCTCCGTCCTGCCCCTGGGATGCTGCTCACCCTATCTTTACCCTGGCTGACCCTTCTAGTCCCTTGGATCTCTGCTTGTATTTCTCATCTCCAGCAGAAGCATGTGCGAATTTCCCAAGACTGAGTTACACGTTTCTCCTCTGTGTTTACATAATACCTGTGCTCACCTCCGTCTCAGCACTTAGCACACTGGATTGAGGGGCCTTCCCCACCAAACAGAAAACTCCTTAAGGACAGGGCTAGACCTTACTTCTTGTATCCAAGTGCTGAACCCTGTCCCTGGCACATAGTAATAGCTTGATAAGTAACTGTCAAATGTGTAATTGAGGAGTTATGTGAATGATCGTAACATTTAGAGACCCTAGGTAGCTTACCTTTATTTGGGTAGACATTTGAACAAGAAGCAATGTGCTGAGAGTCTAGACACCAGGGCTCCTGGTCCATTTTGCCTCTAACATGTGGTGGCCTTGTCAAGTCCCTTCACTTTCCTGGGCTTCAGGCTTTTGTGTGTAATATAATGAATGGAACAAGTGAGCCTTAGCTGAGGATTACCATTCTATTACTTTAACTGTGTTTCTTTGAGATCCATCTTTACATTTTGAGGAGCTCTTTTGTTTTTATTTTTTTTGCATATAGATTGTTTTTAAGATCATCTGCAGTCCGTAAACTTAGTCGAATATATGTTATTCCACGTACAGACCCTAGAATAGCTACTTTGACTTTTCTGACTTTGTTGGCTGTTTCAGCGTTGTCTACACATGGCTTTACTTGTGTGTAGGAATATGACATTGCAATACATGCAGATCCTACATTTATAAATATAAACAGACCCTACAGTTTATGTAACTGTCCTTCATGCTGAGTGGTGTTTGACCTACATAAATCATGTAAGAAAAAAATACCTTGCCTTCACCATCTATCCTTCCAAAATAGCAACACTATCAGTGTACTTCTGTGTGTCTTGGTTTAATACACATTGTACTTTGCGCTAGGATTGGACCCGGCTGGCCCGTATTTCCACAACACTCCACGTGAAGTCAGGCTGGACCCCTCAGATGCCAACTTTGTTGATGTCATTCATACAAATGCAGTTCGCTTCCTCTTTGAGCTTGGTAAGTTTTTTAACATAAACCGAAACTACCCTGAAGCACAGAGGGCAATTTTAGAAGCGTTTATGCTGGTTTTTTCTACTTCAGGTGCTGGAACTGTTAATGCTTGCGGTCACCTTGACTTTTACCCAAATGGAGGAAAGCACATGCCAGGATGTGAAGACTTAATTACGCCTTTATTTAAATTTGATCTCAATGCTTACAAGGAAGGTAAATACTTTCTAAAATATGAGAGCCACTGTTAGAAATTCACTCAGCTCCCGACCTGGATAGAATCCACATCCTTTTGTATATGATATAAAAGTACACTTTAACACAAAACACAGTTGCCTGTGTGAGGTTCCCATCAGTCGTGAGATCTGCAAGGTCAGGGTCCACATCTTGGTTACCTTCCTATCTCCAGGGTTTAGCAGAATGTCTAGCATGTTGTGGTCACTCAATATGAACAAGGAGGATGTGTTCATTCCTCCAACAGATATGGACTGAGTAATTACTGTGTGCCAGACATTATTCTGGGAGCAGCAAATATAGGAATGTATACAAAAGACAAAAATCCCCCCCTGATGGAGCTAATATTCTAATTTAGTGGGAAAACAACAGTAGAATAAGTGTTAAGGAGACAAAACAAAGCATGTAATGGGAATATGATGTGTTGTTGACAGTGGGGGTGAAGTAGGGGGAGGAGATTTTTGATGGAGTGGCCGGGAAGTTTTTACCGAAAAGGTGACCTAAATTAGAATTAGCCATTCGAACACCTGTGGAAAAGGCATTCCAGGCTAAGGCATTGGGATAGCAGGTGCAAAAGGCCTGGGGCAGAAGCCTGCAAAGTTCATGGCAGTGAGGAGCCTGTGTGGCTGGAGTAAAGTGAAAAAGAGGAGAGTAGCAGGGCATGAGGTTAGAGAAGGAGCAAGACAGAGGGAGATAATACAGGGCCTCATGGACTGTAGTAAAGGTTTCAGCTTTTACTCAAGTGAGATGGGAGGGGAGCCCTGGGAGGATTGTCAACAGAAGAAAGACATGGTTTGACTTTTTAACAGAATCAGTCTGGATCACAAATTAAATTAATCACAAATTACATAATAGTATCTAACCTTTTTTTAGTGATTTCCAGTAAAAATAATAAGGTATTTAGTTATAAGACAGGAAAAAGTTATTTGGGAATTCCATTCCTCCCTGTCTCTAAATATCATCATCGTGTAAATAATGAAGTATATCATTTGTAATATATAATAATGCACAGTAATATAATATATCATGATACGGTAATAAACATCTGGATGATTCTAAATATCCCACCACCTGATCCCATGTGGTCAGAAGATCTAGATGATGTAATTATTTGATCTTCTATTGGCTATTTTAGAGGAAAGATACACAGATCATGACATTGAGAGTAACTTGAATTTCCTCTTCACTAGAGATAAATTATAGTTTTAATATCTGTTCTGAAAGAGTAAGTGTAATTAGAAATATCTATTTGCAAAGACTACTTTAAAAGAACTTGTGAATCTACAGATACTCAAAATGAGAATTAAAGCCAATTTCACCTAGTGCAGATAAGCAAAACTCATTCAAAAAAGGTCTATTATAAAATTTAACCTCTCTTATTATTTACCATATTATGATTTAAAATTATTTCTATTAAGGTGAAATATAGATCATAAGACTCCTTTACATAACTATATTAAGTGTTCTACACTGAGCACTTGAAATTCTATAAAAGAATGAATTCAAATAAAATATACATTTATCAAAAGCTACCACTTTGAGGCATTATAATTCTTAAAACGTTATTGGATTAAAAGCACATTTATCATTTATGTTAAATCTTTAGATGAGTTTTAAGCTTCAAGATATTCTATTTTACATTATATTTATTACTAAGAAATCATTTACTTTTAAAATTCATAGTTCCCCATATTCTAATAAACCATCTTGTCTAAATCACAATTAACAATGAATATAAATCTGTATATAAAGAAACCTGATGTAAGAGAAGTCCTCCTTTTAAAAAAACGATGCCAGTTCTTGATCTCTGCTGACTGTGTTGCATTTCTGAAATGATGCTGTCTCAGTTATATTGCATAACAAACCACAGTGGCTTAAAAGAACAGTGATTTTATTGCCCATGGTTCTGAGGCTCAAGATTCAGGCAGAGTTCTGTTGAGATTCTCCTTTGTGATATGGCCACTGGGCTACTTTGTGTGATTACATCCACCTGAGGGCTAAGCTGGGTGGGAAGGTCCGAGATGACTTTCCACGTCTGCGATCTTGGTACCAGTTCTCCTCTCTAAGTGGTCTGTTATCCTTCAGAGCTTCTCTTCCCAGCCAGTTCATCTAGCTTTCTTAACATGAAGGCTGAGTTCCAAGAGAACAAGAGTAGATGCTGGAAGGTCTCAGAAGACCAAGGCCTGGAACTTGCACATTGTCAGTTCCTCCACATTCCATTGGTCAAAGAAGTCACAAGACTAGCCTGGAATCCAGAAGGGCGAAAAAGAAAAGAAAAGAAAAAGTAAGAATGGTAACATGATATTGCAAAAGGATGAGGCCCTAAGAAGGAGTGATTTTTGGAGGCCACTATTGTAGTTAAGTGATTTACCACATATACTAAAACCTGGTTTCTCAAAAGCTAGACAAGCTGGGTAGGTCATTGGGAGAATAGTCCATGCCATACAGTAAAAATGTTGTTACGTAAAGTCAAAGACTGTTACATAAGGTGAATGACTAGAATGCTATGATAATTTCAGAATGCACAAATATACTTAGATTTCTTATTTATTATTGTAGTAATCCCAACTGTTAGTGACAATATTATGCCCATCAATGACAAAACTAATTTGTCTTTAGCATTCTTTACAGTACCTCCCACCTGTCACACCTTGAAGCTCAGCTGAAGGTGTGCGCTGGTTAATGTTGCTGGCTATTTGTGATTGAACAGGAGGGAGGAGTCGTTACTGAATAAACAGGGAGACAGAACTAATTGGTCTGAAGCGGAGATGCTCTGTGCACAGTGATACTTAAAGCTCTTAAGTGCTTATGTCAGAGACCTGGGAAGTGTTAGGGACATTAGTGTCAAAGCATAGCCACCTACATTTGCATATGTTTATTTACCCAGCTTAAATGTTTCTTTAAATTCACACAAAGAATTCTTTGGTACAAGAAAATGATATATAATATTGATAAATATTGTACGATATCCAAGTCTACACACAAGGTCTGGTGACCTTGACCCAAGTCAGGAAACTGACATTTAAAGTTACTTTTTCTAAGAAATGGTTCATACTGTCAGTTATCAGTTAGTCAGTTCATTGCTATCAGTTAATTGGAAATTCTTTCCACAGAAGTGTCTTCCTTCTTTGAGTGCAACCATGCCCGAAGTCATCACTTTTATACTGAAAGCATTCTCAATCCTGATGCATTTGTTGCTTATCCTTGTAGGTCCTACAAATCTTTTAACGCAGTAAGTAAAGCATTTTGCCATTAAATGTAATTAGCAAGTCATTTTTTGAAGCATGACCAGCCAACTAAAAATTAAAGCTTTGAGTATATGGGAAAAAATGCATCTGCCATTTTGGGAAATAATAGATTCTTTCTGTGCTGAGTACTGAACAGTAGCTGGCCCCGCTGGAGGGCTTAAATAACTAAACTAACTATTTGTATTCTGGTTGTTTCAGCTCTTTTGAAGATTATATCCAATTTTGCTTTTTTGGCCATTTGTTATGCAGTAATTAAATGCTACTATGTAACAGGCACAAGTCCAGGGCAAGAATTTTTGTGTGTATGTATTTTAAATGTCATTCTCAAAGATGCCCTGAGAAGGCTGAACCAATCAATAGCTACAGTCAAACATATTACTATTTACTTGGAACATGAAAAATATTTTATTAAAATTTAATTATTTATACAGAGCAGAACTGAGGTGTAGAGAGCTCATGCAGATCAATATATTACAAAATACCAAATCTGATTTTGCTTGAGTCATAAGGCACATAGTGCCAGATCTGCGTTGACCATATTTTTCATTTAGTTATCACTATGAAAGGGAGGAAAAAAATCTATTTTTTATGGGGAATAGAAAGACTTTCCTACTTGTGCTTCAGAGACCTAATGCCTAATGCCTTATCAGGGTAGAAAAATGTGGGGTTTCCAGCTGAAGTGCATTGGAAGTAGTAGCGTTTTGTGAATAAGTGCAGTGTTGGGACAGGAATAAGCATTTCCCTCCTGTTCCAGAGCAAGGTGAGTGGGTGCCCTCAGGCCGTCTTCTCAGGTTCCTGAGTCAGTTGTCCTAACTCATAACCTGGCTGGTGAACTGCAGTTCTCAGAAAGCTTGCCAGCTAAGCACTGGCATTCCCCCAAAACCTCTTTCTCCCCACCTCCTCCTCCTCCTCCTTCCAACCCCAGATGCTACTCTAAGTGGCCAAAGGGATCCTGACATTTACGGTACCGAGGCAGGTAGAAGCAGGTTCTCAGAGTCATGGTGTGTTCAGAGTTAGTGGGGTTCAATCTCCCAGACTGGAGCACCATAAGCTCCCAAACCACATAGACGCTAATTATGGCTACAAACTAGAGAACATCGAGTCAATTTCCTTAAAGTGTTTCATTGTACTTTACAACAGTCATAAAAATGAGATGAAATGAAATAAAATAAGGAGGGATTTTAGTGCCAGGAGTTCATATTCTTGCTCCATCACTTGCTAGACGTGCAACATTGGACAAATTGTTTGCTTCTCAGTGTTTCTGTTTCCTCATCTGTCAAATAAGGAGACTAAAAGCATTATAATAATAAGGGACTTTGTGAGGATTAGTTGACTTAAATGCATATAAAATGCTTAGAACAGTGCCTTGCACATGGCAAGCACTTAATAAATATGAGCCCTTGCTATTTTTGTTAAGTGTTTTCCTTCATTAAAAATGGGATTTTAAATGGGATGTTTTGCTACAGTTCTAGCCTAAATGTCCGGTTTATAAATCTAAAAGTTCAAAACCTAAAATAGCAAATATTCAAATACTGCTACCCAGATTTTTTTATTAATATTTTGTTAGTTTTGCTTTAGATTTTAATTCATCCAGATAAAATTGAAGTACCTTATATTCCCTTCATGCTTTCCCCTAAGGAGGAGTTTGAAGCAAATCAATATACGGACTAAATAAATAGCATCATACTGTAAGCGTCTTTCTGGATTTGCTTCTTTTTAAATTAAGTTTTATAAATTTAATATCTACATTGATGTATCTAGATCTAATGTATTTATTGGGTAAGAATCATTCACAATTGTTTTATTCATTCCCTTACAAATGTGCATTTTTATTGTTTCGGTTTTTGTTATTAAAAGCAATTTTGCAATAAACAACTCTGCATGTCTCCTTATGTACTTGTGTAGAAATTTCTTTATGGCATAGAATAGAAGTGAAGTTGTCAAAGCATATGTGCATTTCCATCTTTATTAGACATTACCAAATGGCTGTCTGCAATGTCTGTCAATTTATATTCCCATAAGAAGTAAACGAGAATCCCCCACTCCGTGTCTTCACCAAAACTTGGTATTGCTAGTTGTTTTAATTTTTGCAAATCTGCTGAGTATGAAATTGTATGTTGTCTTAATTAGCACATTTCTGACAACTAGTAAGACTGAGCATCTTTTTACATCGTTATTAACTGTTTGAATTTCTATGGATTGTCTACTCATACCATTTACTCGTTTTTCTAATAGCCCCTTTTTCTTTTCCCTTAGTTGTTTTTGCTTTGTTATGTTTTGTTTTTGGAAACAGGCAGAGTGGTCTGTTAGGCATTCGAGTCATTTTTAAATGCATATACTTTATTTAGATTCCAAAGATTTATTATAGTTTAATGATATGTCCTGAGTCTATGGAAGGTCAAGACTTTCTAATTATGCTTCTAATTATTTTCTATCACCAGGGAAATTGCTTCCGTTGTCCCAAGGAAGGTTGCCCAACGATGGGTCACTTTGCTGATAGATTTCACCTCAAAACTATGAGGCCTAATAGAGCATATTATTTTTTAAACACAGGGACTTTTTCCCCATTTGCCCGTAAGTATTGTAGCAAAATTTTACTATAATGCTTTAAGGTACTTATCTTTAAAAATGCAACAGTTTTTACTGAGTGTCTACTAAATAACTGGGTATTGGGCCAGCCCCTGAGGATGCAGTGAAGAGCAATACAGAGGGTTGAGACCAGAGGGAAAGCAAACAAAATCTCAGTGTCAGTCTTGAGTAATAAACTTCCCACTGGAAGACATTCAAAGGAGGAACTTCCACAACCAGGTCAGAGGCCCCTTCTGAGGGAAGATGATTTCTAAGCTGACTGCTAAAAGGTGAGTAAGAGGGAGAAATGGAGTCTTCCAGGCAGAAGGAACTGTTTATGAAAATGCCTGGCGACAAGACAGAGCTGGAACTAAAAGAAGAGCCCCAGGAGGAGAGTCATGTGAGACAAGGGGGAGAGGAAAATGGGGTTGAATAACCAAAGTAGGTGCCCTGCGGGAAGTTTGGGCTTTCTCTTCAGACTAATGAAAAGCCGCTGAAGGGTATTAAGATGATCAGATTGGTTTTTCAGAAAAGTCTCTCATGGATTAGAGAGGGGACAAGATGAGAGCACATGACCTGTTAGAACAGCTGCTGCCTCACTGCTCTGTGAAGTGATGGATGTGTACCTGGTCTTATTGTGGTAATCAATTTGCAGTATATGTATATCAAGTCATCAAGTTATACACTTTAAACTTACACAGTGTCTCATTGTATGTAAACTATATCTCAGTAAAGCTGGGAGGAAAAAAAAACAGTTGTTGGCAACAGTCCAGGTAGAAAGGTAGAAGTGGGGAGATTACAGAGATAGTTAGGAGGGACAAGCAAAAAGGAACTTGGTGAATGGATTTGAGGGATGCAGAAAATGGAGAAGTCAAGGGTGATTCTGGCTGGGTGGGTGATGTGCCATTCGCTGAACTTGGTAACACAGGCAGAGAGGCTGGCTGGGAGGAAGTTGATGACTCAGTTTCTAACATGTTAGGTCTGAGATGCCAGGAGGACTCGGGAGTGTGCAGTTAGAGATAGGGGTCTCAGCCTCTGGAGAGCGCTGTCACTGGTGTGCTTGAGGAGAGTGAGTTCAGTGGAGGTGTGATGGTGGAAACCATTTGCAGTGAAATGAGCCGAGGAGGGATAGAGATCTCTTCGGCAATGATTAACTCATGAACTGAAAATTCTCTTTGGTAGATTTTCTCCTTTTCAGATGCTTTTCAAACAATTTTATGAAGAATTACATTTTTTTCAATGTGTTACTAAGCGTGCAACAATTCCAGAATTCAGAATGAAAGGGCTGTTTAGCTCTAGATTTTTTTTTTTAAGTTGCACTTGACCATTTGCAAGGGATCTATCCTACTGGCAGGCTTTGTGCTGACCCAGACCTGTGTTAACTGAGTATTCCTAGCACATATCTCTGCGGGAGAGGAAAGGACAATTCACTTTGCCACTAAATCATTTTAAAAGCACAGACATTGCTCAGTTGGCTTTCTAAATGTTTTCTGGATTAGTTGTCAAACTACGGCACATTAAAACTTGGCTATGGGAAGTATAAATGCCACAGAATACAAATTTGAATGAAAGAAGACATGCATTTTTTTTTAAGTCATGAACACGTGTGGAAAATTAAAGAATTTTCTCTAAAGATACTATTAAACTATTTACTTCTGCAAAATCAAAATGTGAACATTTATATGTTTTTTGAAATGTAGTTTCTCACCAAATTCACTCGAGCTATATGAAGTTGTATTTTTTTCATGAACATGAATAGCCCTGATCCACTTTAACCCTGAAAGTTGTATTTACATTAAAGTAGCCAGGATGTCATGCTTTTCACTTGTTTTTAATCCTTCTCTCTCTCTCTCTTTCTCTCTCTCTCTCTCTTTCTCTTTCTCTATTTCCAGGTTGGAGGCACAAACTGTCTGTCAAACTCGATGGGAACAATGTCACTCAAGGAAGTATATTTCTCCGTGTAGGTGGAACCACTGGGAAAACAGGGGAGTTTGAGGTTGCCAGGTAGGCAGAGACAAGGGCCTGGTAGGTAACAGTGCTGGGCGCTCAGTTTGTCTGGCTCAGTAAGGCTCAGCCCTTTCTTTTCCTACAATACCACCAGCTATCATGCTACTACTTTATGTTTTCCAAATATAAAATAGAAATCATAATTTCTATTTTCTCTGCTGTTCCAGTCACAAACAGAAAATGTTAGGACATGAAAATATGAATCTGTATAATAAAGCAAGTAGAAAAAAATTGACAAGAAACAAGATATATTTTTAATCCAGTCCATTAATGCTATATGAATTTGGGCATATATCTTTATTTGAATAGATTCCATATGAAATAAGACATTTATATAAATTGCCAAATTTCTAATAAGCTTTCTAAGTAGTACCCACAGATTTAGGATATGTGTTGGAAAAGTCAAAGGTAGGAATAATTCAGTAGAGAATACTGTGCATCTTAGGCTAAAGTCCGCCATCATGAGTTTTCCTTAATCTTTTCTTTGATCAGATTTAGCATTTTTGTATTGACATCTTTCACTTCTGTTGCTTAATTCTGCCATTTATTTCAGAATTAACATTATACGTGCTAATTAGATGTTACCATTTTGCAAATTGATGAATGGATTATATGTTTTGCCTTTGTGATTTACATCATCTTCAAATACTGGGAAGAGTTATGAAGAGCAGAGATTTTATGGTTAGTTTGTCAGTTGAGGGATGCATTATATGAATCACTCTGGCAGCATTTGCGCTCATCGTCTTGCCTTGATGCAGCTGCCTGTGAAGACAGACGAGTTCAGTCAGTGATGATCTGGATCCTGGCTCATGCGCAAAGTCCAGCCAACCTTTCTAGACGTGCCTCCCACCATTTGGCTTTGTTCACCTTTAGCTCAGGCAGGTTACTATGATTGCGTCACCCAACATTGACTGGATCTTACCCTTTCCTCCCTGATTTTACCATGCTGTTCCATGTTCCAAATATCCTTCCCTGTCTTAGCATGTCTCATGTCCACTTACCTGTCATGTCTCCAGTAAGCTATTCCCCTGAGAATAGTTCAACACCATCTTGTGTCTATGGCTCTGAGGCCCACAGTGAGGCCTGCCTGTTGTTTGTGTCCTGCACAAAGGCAGCTGACCTGGGGCAGGTGGGAATGAATGTGCAGTTCCTGGCCCTTCTAAGATTTGTGAGAATGTTTTGACATCTCTCTGCTTCTTTGGCTAATGTCTAAAGAAGCTGTTTGTAATGTCCTTGCATAGTTTTCCAATCTTCTTTTTTAGGAATAATTAAGCATTTCAGGTCCACAGTAGATGTCTCATCTTGAAATGAAGTCCGCTAAGGGAGCTAGTATGCTAGTCTATTCCTAGTCTTCAGCCAGGCTTTGAGAGTGTGGCTTCTCTGTTGATTGTACTTTAGTTATTTGGGCTTCCAGTAACACTGTCACGCAGGGCTACACTGCGTGTGCACTGAGTGACAACAGTTCACGTAGCAACGAGGAGATTACCCTTAATAACCTGGAAGAACAGCTGTCTTCTGGTAATTAAATCAACTAATTCTACATGTAATGGAATAAGACAGGCCCTAAGAATAGCAACATTCATTCATTCATTCAGCAAACATTTAAATGCCTGTTGTATACCAGGAATTGTTCTAATTGCTGGGGAGACAGATAGGTCCTCCTCTCATGGAGCTTATCTTCCAGTTAGAGGAGACAGATGATATATTAACAAAGGAATAAGAAATAGCAGGAATAAAGAAATCTCATCTGGTCTAATTTTGGCTTGCATAAAATACACCTTATGCCTCAAGATAATTCACTTCTCTTTGCTCTGTTGCCAAGAAAAAGAGGGTACTGGGGAAAGAGTAGGAGAACATTTTGGTTAATAAAAAGGAAATTTTTTTTCACCATTGTGAGCTGATTAATAGGCTTCTCGTTTTTATATCAGTTTTATGTGAATTTAGTCCATCATTGACAGTTTGATCATTTCCTGGTGTCAGTAAAATTAAATGTCTGATACTACAAAACCAAGACCAGATCTTTCATTATGGAGAACTCATCAAGGTAAGTATCTGTAGGCATCCCCTGAAAATCAGCTAGTCAAGCTTCCCATTTACCTCACCCTTCTTTCAAGCTGCGAAACCATGCTATTCTGAGATGCTGACCAATGTCAGTGGAAAGAATAAATCTCCTATAAGCAAATGCCAAGGAGATACAACTTTCTCTTCCATGGTACACGCACAGAGATGTTGTCTTTCACTTCAGCATTGTGAAGTGCATACCCAGTGCAAGCTTGTGAGTCTTATTTTTCTGTTTACAGTGGAACACTTAACCCAGGCATGACTTACACAAATTTAATTGATGCAGACATTAACGTTGGAAACATAACAAGTATTCAGTTCATTTGGAAGGAACATTCAATTTTACGTTCTCAGAATAAGTTGGGAGCAGAAATGGTGACAGATATATCTGGAAAATATGCATATAAGTAAGTCTTCCTTTTTCCTTTGCATTTTCAAACATAGTTTAAATTTTATAAACTACTTAAAACCCATATATAATTTGAAATTTGTCACTAGTATAAAAATTCATACATCTTGAAATTTTGTAATTAAGAAAAGCAAAATCGATATTTTATTTATAAAAGTGTTTATAAAATAATAACTACTCATGAAATTAAAAGATCTACCAATGTCTCCCCCTCCACACACCCTGGAATTGTATTAATATCCTCTTTTCCCCTTTTAAAATTTTCAGATCTACCTTCTGTAGCCAGAACATTATGGGACCTGATATTGCTCAGATCCTGAAACCATGCTAATCCCAGATATAATCTTGATGGATTTATTTAATGGGAGCAATGGGAAAATTAATCTCTTTCCAGCTGGTGTCCAGACCAAACTTGGCCCTTGTAAATGAGATAGAAAGGTACAGTTGCCTTTTTTCTTTATAGAATGTTTTTCTTATAAACTTCTCTATGTGCCTTAAAAACAGACTACGCCCTGGTGCAGAGTACAGTACATGATCTGTAGGATTCTGGGTATCAGTGACAAAACAGAGCTGGGTTGGAATTCCCCTGAATAAGAGGAACTGATGCAAGTGTAGTGTCAACTCATCAGTGAAAATGAGCCTCTGTCTGGTTGAGTGTTTGAAGTACCTTTTAGAGTATTTCCAGGTGGATTAATCATTCTTCTAAAATGACTTGAAGAATATTTACTATGTTGTTGAGTCTTGCCAAGACAAGTTATGTCTGTAGTTCATAATATATAGTAGATTATAACCCTGTGGGTTGATAACATCTATCGATTAATAATGAAAACTAATGAGAGCACATCAGTATTTCCAGGGTGTCCCTTGGTCTTCGGGGGGTGTGTGAGGTAAGAGAGATTTGAGAGCGTATCTGTGATGTGAGCATCAGTTAGCAGTGGGCCCTAAGGATCACCACCCACTTCTTCTAAAAGCCCCCTGCTGCAGGAGACTCACTTATCTCCCTGGGCCCTGAAGGTCCTGTTGCAAATTTGTATTTAGCCTAAAGGCAGCATTTCATTTGTAAGCATTTAACTCTGTCTTTATAATAACAATATTGTAATATTTAAATGTGTCAGTTGTGTTTTTTCTTTTATTTTGCTTCAATTTCTTCTAATTCAGTTGTCCTCATCCAGTGAAAATGAGAGTGTTTTTATTTGCTCTGTTTAATATCACTGGGCTCAGTGTTTGGCCCATGGCACTGTGCTACAAATATTGTTGAGAAGTGATGATAGATATTTTGCAGGGGGTTTCTCGATTCTCCTTGGTGCCTCACTGCCAACTGAACCTAAAGAGGCCAACAGGTGGACATGAACTTGAGTCTTTGCAGAAAGCAAAGAACAAAATGGGGTGACTTTCCCATTGTGCGCGGAGGAGGTAGAAGGTTGTTTGGAGCACAGGGCTTGGTGGAAGGAGAGGAGAGAAGGACACATTTGGCATGATCCATCTAAGTGTCCTGCCTCCCTAGTGGCATATCAGCCCAAGGCCCAAGCCAGCCCAGGAGCTGGTTGGCCATGAGCAGCCCCAGTGGGAGGATATGAGCCCTGCTGAGTAACTGTGTCGCCACACCACTGCTGCTGAGCAGCCTGGCAGTGGAGCCAGCTCATGGCTCTGGGGGAGGAGAACCACCAGTGAGAGCAGCTGCCCCGAGCCTGCACTGCTGTCGGCTTAGCCCTTCTTCCTTTAGGAGGGGCTTGCCCACTGGGAGGAAGAATTATGGATTAAAATGCTGCATTTGGCTCTGTGAGTCCTGGCCTGCTTCCTTGTCCAAGGGGTCTTTTGGCTGGCTGTTTCTAAACTTGAAAAGACAGACTATAGTCAGTTAACTTCTGGGAACCCTATGTTAATAAAGTATGGCCTTTCTGTCCCATTGTTCTTAATATCTGTCCCCTATTTTGCATAATAAGAATGTTGTAAGGATGAAAAATAGTGCATGGACTATCTCAGCAGATCCGGAAGTTCAAGGGCACAGCATTATTTTCTGTGTGTACTGCTGCCTAGGAAAGTTCTATAAAAACAATTCCCTTTCTGAGTGCCTTGCACTACTGTGCAGAGTATTTGGGACTAGCAAACAGTGGGGTGAAGACTGTAAGAAAATTCTTCTTTTTATTATTATTGAGTTATAGTCAGTTTACAATGTTGTGTCAATTTCCAGTGTAGAGCACAATTTTTCAGTTATATGTGAACATACATATATTCATTGTCACATTCTTTTTCTCTGTGAGCTACCACAAGACCTTGTATATATTTCCCTGTGCCATACAGTATAATCTTGTTTATCTATTCTACATATGCCTGTCAGTATCTACAAATTTCGAACTCCCAGTCTGTCCCTTCCCACCTCTCTCCCCTCTGGCAACGACAAGTTTGTATTCTGTCTCTGTTTCTGTTTTGTATTTATGGTTTTTATTTTTTGTTTGTTTGTTTTTTAGATTCCACATATGAGTGATCTCATATGGTATTTTTCTTTCTCTTTCTGGCTTACTTCACTTAAAATGACATTCTCCAGGGACATCCATGTTGCTGCAAATGGTGTTATGTTGTTTTTTATGGCTGAATAGTATTCCTTTGTATAAATATACCACATCTTCTTTATCCAGTCATCTGTTGATGGACATTTAGGCTGTTTCCATGTCTTGGCTATTGTAAATAGTGCTGCTGTGAACATTGGGGTGCAGGTGTCTTTTTGAAGTAGATTTCCTTCTGGATATATGCCCAGGAGCAGGATGACTGGGTCATATGGTAAGTCTATTCCTAGTCTTTTGAGGAATCTCCATACTGTTTTCCACAGTGGCTGCACCAACTTGCATTCCCACCAGCAGTGTAGAAGGGTTCCCTTTTCTCCACAGCCTCTCCAGCATTTGTCATTTGTGGACTTTTGAATGATGGCCATTCTGGCTGGTGTGAGGTGATACCTCACCATAGTTTTGATTTGCATTTCTCTGATAATTAGTGATATTGAGCATTTTTTCATGTGTCTATTGATCATTTGTATGTCTTCCTTGGAAAATTGCTTGTCTAGCTCTTCTGCCCATTTTTGGATTGGGTTGTTTGTTTTTTTCTTATTAAGTCATATGAACTGCTTATATATTCTGGAGATCAAGCCTTTGTCAGTTTCATCTTTTGCAAAAATTTTCTCCCATGGGTATAGAGGGAATATCTCTCTTCTGCTTCTTGAGCAAACTGCTATTTATACTGAAAAGTGACTTCCAATCCCATGAGCCATTACCTCCCCTCCTGCCCGCTGCCCTCCATTCATACTCATGCCTTGTCATCACATCACCTAGAGGTTTCCCTCTCCTGCCACAACTGCCTCCCCTTCAGGCTGACCTAATGACCTTGTCAGACCTCCTTTTGACTTCTGATCCATTACCCTTCAACCGCACCAATCCACTCCCTTTCATACCCAGCTTAAGTTGCATGATATTTTAGTTCAGTATGAATGCTTATTAACACCCTAAACTCCCTGTCTTGTTGGTTTTTTTTTTGTATCCTGTAATGCTAAACCTCAATCTAAGTGCACCCAGTGTTTCTCTTCCTCTAGGCCTGCACCTCAACAGTTGAGGGCTACTGAGATAGTCACATCACAGAGAGGACGTGTGTAACTATAAGTTGGTCATCAACACTGTCCTGAAATTCTACCTATTTTTGGCTTTTGGTTTTTTTCTTATCTCCTACCCCAAATACTCCACCAACTTTATACAGAAAACAGGGGTGATCAGAGAGCACATTGCTCCTAGTTTTGATCCAAACATATCAACTACCTACATCTGCATCCATTCTACCCTTTTTCTTTCTAGTAGAGAAGCTGCCCCTTCTCCTGTCCAAAGCCAATGCTTGCCGCTATGCGTTGGATCTCACTCTCTCCAGCTTTCCTGTGATTCCTGTCCTACTGGTAACATTTTCTTTCTTTTACACATTCAAGCTCTCATTGCATCAGCTTTTTAAAAGTCTAAGTTGAAGCCATTCTCAACCCTAGATTCCCCTCTAGTCCCAGCTAACCTGCAAACAGCTCTCATTTAGATTTCCAGTGACTGCCAGTTAGTAAGTTAAAGTTTTACTCATCTATTCCACCCCTCAGCAGAATTCAGCACTGTTGTCAACAACTTCCTACTCTTTCCGTTTAAAATTAAATTATTTTTTCTTTTTTACTTTTTATTGTAAAAATTTTGTAATACTCACAGCAGCAGAGAAATTGGTTAAATAGATCTCCCAAGTATTTGTCAGCCAGTTAAATAATTTTCAGATTTTGCCAATTCTGTGTTATAAGTGTGTACACAAACACACACTGCCTGTTTTTGTTTTGTTTGTTTTTACTGGAGTATTTTAAACCAGATTCTAGATACAATACTATCTTTCCCATTTACACATCGGTATGAATCTCTATATAATAAATTTTTTTAATATAACTATAATATCTATTTATAAAAATTAACAATAATCACTTTAAAGTGAATTTAATATTAACTAAAAGAATTAACAATAATTCCTTAATATCATCTTACATTAAGGTTGTTTTTAAATTTCCCAGATTATTTGTAAAAAGGTCTTTTGGCAGTTTGATTGTTTAAATTGAGATCCAAGCAAGATCCACAAATTGCATTTTAAAAAATATTTTACTTATTTATTATATTAATTATTTTTCATTTTGGTGGGAGGCAATTAGGTTTATTTATTTTTATAGATACTGGGGATTGAACCCAGGACCTCATGCATGCTAAGCACACACTCTACCACCTGAGCTATACCCTCCCTCAACAAATTGCATTTGATTAACATGTCCATAAGTCTCTTTTCATCTGTAACAGTCCCCCATCACTTCTTCCACACCAGTTGTTAAATAAGCCAGGTTACTTGTCCTGTAAAATTTCTCATATTCAACTGATGGAATCTCCTTGGTGTCATTTAGCTCCTTTCTCTCTCTTGTACTTTTCCTGTGGTACTTAGGTTGAGACACTTGATGGCATTCAGGTTCCTGTTTGATGAGCAGTGGGATTGACCCCACTCCATGCTGGCCTGCAGGGTGGGCAATTTCTGCACCTTACAGATCTCAAGTTAACTGGCAATCTTTTTTAAAAAATTTATTCAGAGAATTATGTATATACTAGCACTTTATGCATTTGAAAGGGCTGTACCAACTGGAGTTGAGTTGTAGGTAAAATAGAATGTTGGATGGCTTTGAATCTAATTGCTCAATGGCAGGCTAAGAGGACACAGGTGCCTGGAAGAAGATTTACAGAGGTTTGTGCTCTAGGAGGACTGGAGGAAGGGAGCAAATTGAGTAAAGTTCCAATTACGAAAAAGGCATTGGACTCTGCACTCTGCCTAGGGCTGGATGAGGTGGATCATAAATGCTCTTGCAGAAGCTTAGGAAGAATCAGATACCCGGTTGAGTTGTATGTCTATTTCCCCAAGCTCCTTAGATCAGAGTGAATAATAGAAATTACCCTGCTTAACAAGGCCTCAGGTTTTGTTGACTCTGCAACTCTTTAGAGCAAGCAGAGGGCCTCAGGAACAGTATAATTTATTCCAAGTTATTGTTTCCCAGCCTTTTAAAACCTAAGCTCGTGTTAGATAAACATAAAAATCTCATGTCTCTCCTGGGGTCTTTACTCCTCCACCTAGGAAAATCAATCTTTTTTCATATATCCTCTGGCCAAAAAGATTTTGTAAATCTTTGCTTTCTGCAGAGTGTGTAATAAAAAATGACAGGTGTGCTTTGTGCTGTGTTGTGTTTTTTTTTCCCCAAAATACATACTTATAATACCAGATGGGCTTCTTGATTTTACACATGATTCTCTAAGAGTTCTGCTCTAAATGATTTAAGTCATATACTCAGGAGAGCAGAGTCTCTCAACTGGATTTCACTCCAATATTAGAGAATGTCTGAATGTCTGTATAGATGGGCCAAAATTTTTGGTAAATGCTTTCTTCCTTATGCAGCCTATTTTCAATGTTCAAGTTTTGCAGACACTTAACCTTTACATAGTCATGTGTTTTTCTTTTCTTTTCATAGGCTGTTTTTCATTCATTCATCTAAAGAAACATTTATTGAGTAACCTTTGTATACC